CAACTGCACCACCCAAGTGCCAAAAATTGCCCTTTTAAAAGATGTGTGCTAATTTAGACCAAAAATATCTTAAGCTATTCTTAATTTATGTTTTATTGATTATTAATGGGTTCTACATATTATTAAAAATGAAACTGGGGCACCTGGTGGCACAGTTGGGTAACCGTCTGACTCTTTGTTTCAGCTCAGGTTGTGATTTCGGGGTCATGAGATCAAGTTCTCCATTTGGCACCATTTCAGTGTGGAGTCTGCCTGAGACTCTCCCTCAGACTCCCCAATCAATCAATCAATCAGTCAATAAACTTTTTAAAAAGAAAGGTTTAAAAATGAAACTACAGGGCGCCTGGGTGGCTCAGTTGGTTAAGCGACTGCCTTCGGCTCAGGTCATGATCCTGGAGTCGCTGGATCGAGTCCCGCATCGGGCTCCCTGCTCAGCAGGGAGTCTGCTTCTCCCTCTGACCCTCCCCCCATCTCATGTGCTTTCTCTCTCATTCTCTCTGTCTCTCAAATAAATAAATAAAATCTTTAAAAAATAAATAAATAAAAATAAAATAAATAAATAAATAAATAAATAAAAAATAAAAATGAAACTACACTGAAACTGTTTCTAACACATAGAAGTCAGATTTTGTCTGTCATTAATTTTAGGCTAGGAGAATACTCCAAACATAAGACCATCTAAATACCTAATTAATTCACATTCTTTCACAGTTTGTCTTAAACTCAGTATAATCTATCACTCTCTACCAACTTCCAGCTTATGCAGCATTGGTATTTGCAAGGTTCTTTGCTGTTACTTTTACCTGGAATACTCTTTTTGACCTTTCTGCCTGCCAGATCCTCTTATCTGTCCTTCAAAACTGAATGCACATGATACCTCCTTTGTCAAGGTTCCCTGGACCCCTCCCCAGAATATTGACGTTTTTAGTCAGAAGACCTTGTTCCTAGTAGATTATAGCATGTTCTTGTGATGGTCTTTCCAGCAAGATCGTGAGCTTTATATATCTCTGAATCCTCTTTTCTTCTACCACATTTGGTGGGCCTCCCATGAGTCATTTGCTAAATTAGTGAAATCCCAACTATTTGGGTCATCACTGAAGCTTACAGTGAATGCTTTATTTTTTAGCACCTTTGTAGTATTTATTGTCACTATTTATGGTCTTGTATTGTTATCTTTTAACACATATGAGTATGATATGTAACTGGTATGCTTAAAGTTCATAAGGCAGTTGTTTAGAATTTAAGGTACATTGTCCTATAGAAATAGTGTTAGAAATTAGTTTAGTATTCCAAGAAAGTACTGTACAATTCTTACAGTCCACACTGTTCCCCCTAGTTCTCTATACCACCTATTCTTTGTCATTGTACCTATTTGAAAACTTACTTCATGTTCCAGTTCTGGACTTCAGGAGCAGGTCCTCCCACCAGATAAGTAGCTGAGACAAGGGAAGGAAGATTTCCTTTCTTTCTTTCTTTCTTTTCTTTCTTTTCTTTCTTTTCTTTCTTTCTTTTTCTTTCTTTCTTTCTTTCTTTCTTTCTTTCTTTCTTTCTTTCTTTCTTTCTTTCTTTCTTTCTTTCTTTCTTTCTTTCTTTTTCTTTCTTTCTTTCTTTCTTTCTTTCTCTCTCCCTCTCTCCCTCTCTCTCTCCCTCTCTCTCTCCCTCTCTCTCTCCCTCTCTCTCTCCCTTTCTTTCCTTTTCTTTTCTTTTCTTTCCTTTCTTTCTTTCTTTCTTTTCTTTCTTTCTTTCTTTCTTTTTCTCTTTCTTTTCTTTTTCTTTCTTCTTTCTTTTTTTTTTGTTTTAAGATTTTATTTACTTGAAAGAGCAAGTGTATACGAGCAGTGGGGGGGTGGGGAGGAGAGGGAAAAGTAGACTCCCCACTGAGGAAGGAGCCCAATGCAGGGCTTGATCCAGGACCCTGGTATCATGACCTGAGCTGAAGGCACACACTTCACCTGAGCCACCCAGGTGCCCCAGAGATTTCCTTTCTGCTTTCCTGTTCCAGAATACTGCAGAGATTCGGCAGCAGAGCAATGAAAGAAGGTCCTAGACAACCCTAGAAATTGTAGGGAAGATGGAGATTGTGGTTTTAGTGTCTGGCAACAGCCTCTATAGGCATATTTTCAATTCCTTTCAAATTCAAAACAGATCTTAAGCAGTCTGTTTAGTTGCTTTCTTCCTTTCTACTTATTAGTTGAAAACCCTATGTAGGATAAGTAGGAGGTGACTAATTGAGATTCAAACAGGACAGTAAAGTTAAGGTTGGTTTTCATCTTTAAGTTGGAATGATCTTTGAGCTTCCCTTGATTGTCAGCCTGTGACTCTCATATACAAACATAAATGGATTCTCATCATCCTTTTGTGACTGCCCATATAATGAGATTCTACCATAGTATATTTGTGCTCAAGGGTGTTAGGATTTGATTAGTGGAATGGCCTCCTTTTGCTTCTCATCTTTAATTACCCCAGTGTTTATATGCATTGATTCTGAATATTATTGATTTGTTTTGTTTTCAAAGTCATGTTGTTTTCCCTAACCCCATATTGAAACTAGCGAGCTGTGTTATACAATGAAACTTGAAGAGGGGCGCCTGGGTGGCTCAGTCGTTAAGCGTCTGGCTTCGGCTCAGGTCATGATCCCAGGGTCCTGGGATCGAGCCCCGCATCGGGCTCCCTGCTTGGCGGGAAGCCTGCTTCTCCCTCTCCCTCTGCCTCTGCTTGTGTTCCCTCTCTCACTGTGTCTCTCTCTGTCAAATAAATAATATCTAAAAAACAAACAAACAAACAAACAATGAAACTTGAAGAACCTTCTAAACTGATATTGACTGGTTTATGGATTTATATAGATTCTTTAGCTATTCTATAAAAGAAAATCTAATTCAAATTAGACCTTTTTCTAAATATTTAAGTTTGAACTAGAAGTTTTTTTTGTCTATCCACATTATTTACATTAATATTATCTCTAGAGATATTATACATATATATATTTTAACATGTATAGGTATCCTGATTTACTATGCAAATTGCTTATAATTTTGAAGAAATAGGCAAAGTAGAAAAAGATTTTATATTCAGAAGATAATGTCACTATGAACATTTCATAAAAGAATAATGTCTAGGGGTGCTTGGTGGCTCAGTTGGTTAAGCGTCTGCCTTCAGCTCAGGTCATGATCTCAGAGTCCTGGAATCGAGCCCCCTGCATCGGCCTCCCCTGCTTCTCCCTCTCCCTCTGCTGCCCTCCCTGCTTGTGCTCTCTCACTCGCTCACTTTCAAATAAAATCGTTAAAAAAAAAAAAGAAGAATGTCTAGATAAATTGATATCTCTTCCATCATATTAAGATGGTCTCCAAAGCAGAAAGTACCAAGAACATTAAGGAAAGATTACAGGGTGGTTTTAAAGAGCAACATTATTGAGCACACTGTTCCATTGTTGGTGATGACATCACTGGTTTCAGGAACATTAGTGGTTGGAAATAGTTTCTTCAAAATTTCAGGTGCTTCTCAGAATGAAAATACCTGGTCGTTATTTGGGTTTTATGGTGGTAGGGATGCAGGAGTGGCTGGCATATATAGAACAGCTCCATATCGGGTGATATGGAAAGTCCTGTCAATGTTTTTGACCAGAATATAATGTTTACCACAACAAATAGTACACAAAGGATTCTAAGTTTAGGGAACAGAAAAACTGATGGCAAAATACAAATTGTTGAATATAGTATAGTGAAACAGTGGTTGTAGAGCCCTAGAGAAGAGGGCAGACCTGGTCTCAGCTTTTCAGTTCCTAGCTGTTCAGGTTAGGGAAAGCAGTTAAAAATCTCTCTTCCTTAGTTTTTTCAACAGTAAAATCAAGATAATAGTACTTACTTCTTTTATTCCTTTAGTAAATATTTAATGAGTGCCTACTATGTACCAGGACTGTTTCCAGCCACCAAGGATATTGAACAGGGGGTGGGGGGGGGATATGTTAAAAATCCCTGCCCTCATGGGGTTTCATGAAGGAGTTAGTTGATAAATAAAAAATGTGAGTTAAATATATGAACTGCAATAAATGACACAAATGTGAAGTGTTGGAGAGTGGAGAATGAGGTCAGAATATTTGAAAGGGAAGACATCTCCGAGATGTATTCTGTGAGGATTAAATGAGATACTGAATATTTAGCAGAGTGCCTGGGATATAATAAGGCATCAATAAAAATTAGCAGCTATTATTGTATTTATGGTATTAAGGAAAAAGGCAAGTCAATTAGTTAATGAGATAACACCAATCAAAAGTGGATTGAAGATTATATCTAATGAAAGAAAATTAGTGTATACAGAGATACATTAGTCCATATCCAGAGACTGGTTGATGTCTTTCACTCATTACAAATGGAATCTCTTCAACTGTGAACAATTTAATATTCTGAGCTACTCACCAAAGCTTGTAAATGTTATATCATCAGCTGTTTTTTCTGTTTGATTTTATTTTTGTTTTATTACCAAAATTGAATGGCTTTTATATTTTGGGGTGCTGTATTTGTTCTTAAAACCATGATTGATGTATAAATTTAGGAAAACTAGTTTGTGTTCCACTTTCAGTCTTTGAATCATGGATTACCTTCTGATTTATCATATTTATCTCTTGAATGTATCTGGATCATTAAGTCTTAGATGTTTGAGCACTCACCTAAAAAAGCACCATGAAGGGGCGGCTGGGTGGCTCAGTCGTTAAGCGGCTGCCTTCGGCTCAGCTCATGATCCCAGGGTCCTGGGATCGAGCCCCGCATCGGGCTCCCTGCTCGGCGGGAGGCCTGCTTCTCCCTCTCCCACTCCCCCTGCTTGTGTTCCCTCTCTCGCTGTGTCTCTCTCTGTCAAATAAATAATTAAAAAAAAAAAAAAAAAAGCACCATGAAGCTTAAAGTGAAGACCTTTTGTTACTTTCATGGAGTGGAATACATTTGGAATAACATGATTTTGGTGCTCAAAATAAGATAAATGATGGCTTACTCCTTTGTGTCTTTCAGTGTGTTGGCATGCATCAGCCCTGAAGCAGTGATTTCTGGATTAAACTACATGTCATTTGCTAATGTTGGCATGAGTGGCTTAAGCCCCAGCGGTGTGGATTTGAGCATGGAGGCAAATGCTATAGCTCTGAAATATTTAAATGAAAGTCAGCTGTCACAACTATCTCTCACTCGATCAAACCAAAATAACTGCGACTCATCTTTTAGCCTTCTCCATATTAATACAGACAGAAGCACAGTGGGGCTGAGTTTAATTTCACCAAACAACATGTCATTTGCAACCAAAAAATATATGAAGAGATACGGACTCATACAAAGCAGTGATAACAGTGAAGATGAAGAGGAGCCTCCAAACAATACAGATAGCAAGAGTGAACATTTATTGAATCAAAATCTTACATCCATACCTGAACAACTTGACTGTCAAAAAGAACCTTCTAGGAATGCCTGTGAAATAATTAATCGTTATAACTGTGAATCCGTGAGCACCCACGCAGATACACCAGTATTGAGAAATATTACAAATGAAGTTGTTCAGCCAAAAGCAACCCAGCAATTGAATGAAAACCCAGCTTTCTTATTAAAAAACCTTAAGCCAAGTCCTGCAATGAACCTCCGAACCGGAAAAGCAGAGTTTACCCAACATCCTGAGAAAGAAAATGAAAAGGACACTCAAATTCTTCCCGAAAGTTTGAAACCTGAAACTTTAAAGCAGATGAGTAGTATGAATTCAGTAGGCACCTTCTTAGATGTAAAGCAGCTCAGACAGTTGCCAAAATTATTTTAAACCTTAAACTCACCTCCCTCCTGTTATGAGGATGGGGTGTCTCTTGAAGAGACTTAGGGAAGCCAGAGCCTTTGGTAGTTTGGGGATGCCTAAGCATTCTAGGGGCCAGTCTGTTTTTGGTAGCTGCTGATTATGAAGAGCTGAGCAGTTGACCTGATGGTCTGTGAGATGGTGCACTTGTAGAGGAGGGTGAAGTGCTCTGTTCAAGTAGAGCTTGTTCAGCATCCCTGCAATCTTTTTTAAACAAATCCTGAGATCAGTTATTTTGACAAATTTAGGTAAACCAGTACTATCCAACTCTGAATCTGAACTGCTCTTTTATGCTGTAAATTGTGAAAAGTAACTCCATTTTCCTAGCATGTTGCATCTCTGCATCTATCATCACCTGAAATAACGTAAAATAAACTTATCATGACCCTGACTAAATTAGCTAAATCAACCCTTACTGAATTTAAGGGGAAAGTTTTATTTTTAAAAATAACTTTAAGATCTTTTATATAATGAGTATAGATGTTCTCTTAATTAAGATGCATATTGGTTAAATTCTGTGGAAGTAAAGCTTTTGCAGTCTGGTGGGTTGATGTTAATGTAACATTTTTAGCTTACAGCACTAGCTATCACAAAATAAAATGATTGAGTATAAATGTGTTTTATAAACTTTGAGTATTTCAAGTGTTTTCATATTTTTTAATAAAACTTAATAAAATTGCTAGATTTACTGTTTTCCTCTATAGCATATCCTTCTCTCCTTGTTTTGAAAAAGCTTTTTTGACTCCCAGAAAGTTACAAAAATAATAACACAGTTCAGGTATACCCTTTACCCAGCGATCCCCAATTATAGTAGTTTACATAACCATAGCAAATGATCAAAACCAAGAAATTGATGTTGGGTACAATATTAGTAACTGAACCACAGACCTTTCAGGTTTCACAAGTTTCTACATCCACTCATTTATTTACTTTTTGGTGTGTAACTCTATGAAATTTTGTCACTTATAGATTTGTATAACCTCCACCACAGTCAGCATACAGAACTGTTCCATCACCACAAAGAACCTCCCTAGGGCTGTCCTTTTAAAATACAATCCGCACCCCCGCCCCCAGCCCTAATCCCTGACAACCAGTGGTCTGTTCTCCATCACTAGAATGTTGTCATTTTGAGGATGTTAATATAAATGGCATCACGGTGTGTAACTTTTTTTTTTTTTTTTAAGATTTTATTTATTTATTTGAGAGAGCACACGAGAGGGGGGAGGGTCAGAGGGAGAAGCAGACTCCCCGCCAAGCAGGGAGCCCGATGCGGGACTTGATCCCAGGACTCCAGGATCATGACCCGAGCCGAAGGCAGTCGCCCAGCCAACTGAGCCACCCAGGCGCCTGCCCACGGTGTGTAACTTTCTGAAGTTGGTTTTCACTAAGTATAATGTCCTTGAGATCCATCCAAGATGTTATTGTTGCTTCCCTTTTTCCCCCACCTTAAAAATTAAGTTTTAAAATTTTATTTCTAAATATAATTGGAAAAAGTCCTCACTCGAGAGAGAAAGCTCTTCTGCTGAAGTTAACTTAAGCTATCAGTGCCTTATATCCAATTTGATATGTAAGCTGGAAGGAAGAGGACTTTGGATCTCAATACTTTCCAACTCATCTGGGCCTTCTGAGGTGATAATCTGATAGAACAGTTCACAGTTTGTAAGCCAGAGTATAGTGACCTGGCGGCTCTCTGCTGGTGCCACTGGAGCCGGGACAGTCGCTGCCTGTTGCCCTGCAGCGTTGCTCTTTCCAGTGAAAAGTAAGACACGGAGATGGCAATGACTATGAGTCTGTGTCTCCCTCTGTCTCCTTAGGCATCATTTGGCACTTTATTTTAATAAATAGCATAAAAACCCACTTGAAGGCCTCACTAGATTGTCAACGCCACTTCAAGTGTGCTGTATTTAACCTTAGCCCTCAATACCTCACCCAAGAAGCCAGTGTGGGCACAATTTCTATTGCACGTGTTTGAAAAACCTGAGAGAATGCTAGTGAATTAACGGACAGCCTCATTAACTATACCGTTATCGCTGGGAACCCTGTCATTTTCACACCAAACAAGAAGCTCTCAACAATAAAAACAACCTGAAGCTTTTTAGGCAAAATCTAATTCCATCCCTTCTGTTACCACATCTAATTTAAGGCCAATGATAAGACACTTAAGCAGTTTTGGAGACTGAATTTAGACTGCAGAGTAATTCCACAAAATGGCTCTTTCTACTAAATGCATGTCTAGGGCGCCTGGGTGGCTCAGTTGGTTGAGACTGCCTTCGGCTCAGGTCATGATCCTGGAGTCCCAGGATCGAGTCCCGCATTGGGCTCCCCGCTCAGCGGGGAGTCTGCTTCTCCCCCTGAACCTCCACCCTCTCATGCTCTCTATCTCATTCTCTCTCTCAAACAAATAAGATCTTTAAAAATAAATAAATAAATGCATGTCTAGAGAAGAGGGACCATCACTGAAGCCTCCTCTGGTAAGTTTTCTAAGAATGTTTTACTGTGGGGGCACCGGGGTGGCTCAGTCGGTTGAGCATCTGACTCAATTTCAGCTCAGATCGTGATCTTCGGGTGGTGAAATCGAGCCCTGTGTGGGGCTTCGCACTGCACATGGAGTCTGCTTGAGGTTCTCTCTCCGTCCCCTTGTGCCTCCCCGCCACACACCACCACCCCTTGCCACTGCCCACATGCTCTCATGCTCACACTTTCTCTCTCTCAAAAAAAAAAAAATGTTTTACTGTGGGAAGTTATTTGGTAAATTCATGGCTATGCTAGGTTGCAGGCATCTTCAGGCAAAGCATGAGTACTGGAAAAATTGGATTAAGAGACTTTGGATATGATTGCCTCTCAAGTGATATCTGTCTGAATTATTTTCTTTCATTCAGTCCCGCAGCATACCATTTATAGATACATGGGTACTACTTCAAATGGAATAAAGAAATGATGGAGCTTCCATTCCTCAGCTTCTGGAAAACAAACCCATTCATCTAGGTCTGGCCAATTGGCACCCCTGCTTTCACCAAACGTTCCCTTTCTCAAGCTCTGAACACTGCTGCCTCATCACTCTATGCTCACTTGTCCTCTGCCTTACCCTTACTGTGCTGAGCTGCACAGAAGTAGATGCAGACTTATTAGACATAAACCTTGCCTTTTGCCCGCTGTAAAGACTCTAGGGCAAATAGATACACCCTGGAAACGGTCATACCACAGTATGAGACAGATGAAAAGTTGAAAGGAGTGATCTAGACTGTAAGGAGCCACAGAAGCAGAATCATGACAGCTTCCATCTTTTTAGGACTTCCCATGTGTTCACAGGGTGCTATGCAGAGTACTCCACGTGCATTGATTGGTTCATTTAAGCGTCCTGGCTGACCCGAGCTGGTGATTGTCATTGTCATAGACGAGGGAACAGCCTGAGGGAGATAATTTACCCAAGTAAGTTGCTAGCAGAGATGTAAGCTCAAGTATAATTCCAGAGCCCAAACTCTTACTGAGCCACTGAGAAATACAACTTCTCCAAGGCCTGAGGAATTCCGGAAGAGCTTCCTACAAGAAACATCTTGAGCTGAACAAATGATTCCGAATACTGTAGTCAATGCTGTTTTGAGTATGTGCTGTCCTCCAAGCTGTCATGCCTTATTTGGCCCCAAGAAGGAGTCCCCTGGCCCTTGAGCCAAGACCAGAAATTACTATTTTTTACTCAACAGTCCTGAAGTAGGCAACCCCAGCTCTGTTAACATTAAAGAGTTCGCCTCAATGATTTTACATCGTGGTAGTCAACTGGGTCTACTGCATGGGCTCCAGAAAATTAGAGGAACAAAAGAATTTTCTGTGCTTTTATTTTCTAGATGTTATGAGGGCAGAACTTTTCCTAGCCTCCTAGATTAACTGAGAGGGCTTTGTGCCTGCAAAATAAATTTAATGGTAGTGGCTTAGGTTTGCAGACTGCTTCACACTTTTCAAAGTGCTTTCTGACATACTTCCCCATATAATCCTCACATCCAAAACCAGACTGAAATATGTACGGCAGGCAGTATTAGCCTCCTTTCACTCATAATGAGAAAGACAGATAAGGTGCAACTGGCTCAAGGTCATACATTTACAGTTAACCAGGACATCAGCCTTGTGTTCTTCCATAGCATCCAGCCCAGCAACAGCTTCTTCCTCCATTCTTCCTCTCCCCACCAGCACCTGTTTCACTCCTAATCATTCAGCAGGTATCCAATGTTGATTCTGCTGGGCACTCAAACTAGAGGCTGAGCATAAGGTGATTAACAGGACAAACTTGCCCGTGTAGGATCTCAGTCTAACCAGAGACAGACATGCAAACATTAGCAGTACGGTAGGTCAGTCCTCACAATAAAACTCTATAACATGGGGCACCTTGGTGGCTCAGTCATTAAGCGTCTGCCTTCGGCTCGGGTCATGATCCTGGTGTCCTAGGATCGAGCCCTGCATCGGGGTCCCTGCTCCACGGGAAGCCTGCTTCTCCCACTCCCGCTTCCCCTGCTTGTGTTCCTGGTCTCGCTGTCTCTCTCTCTCTCTGTCAAATAAATAAATAAAATTTAAAAAAAAAAGAAAAAACTCTATAACATGTGAAGCTATATTAAGAGGAGCTGGAAGGTGGGGTACTTCTGAGGATGTTCTAGATTTTTCCAGAATCTTGCAGGAAGAATAGGGAAGAGAAGGTGACGAAATGGTATTTCTGATAGAGGAAACAGCTTGCTGGGAAGCAAGGAGATACAAAGAGGCACAGCATTGGAGGAGGGAGTTAGAGTCAGGAAACCAAAGGGAGAAAATATGCAAGTAGAAAGAACACTGAGTCAGCAACAGTTGGGTTCCTCTTGTTGCTCTGCCCCAAATTCTATGACGTTGGGCACGTCACCTCTTATCACTAGGCTTTTACTTCCCAATTTTTGAGGTAAAGGGTTAGCCTATCTGGCATTCTGTGATTATGAAACAATGATGCAGAAATATAGGGTGTGAGGAGTGGTTTCAAGTCCAGAGGAGGGAGAGGCTTCTGCAAGAGACAGCATTGGAGTTGGACCTTGAAGGATTTTGAAGGATTTGCAGTCACAGGTGAGGAAAAGGAAATTTCCCTACTTTTTATAATGCTTAGTATATTTCACAATTTAAAAAGGAAAAGAATTCCGTTTTCACCACCAAAATGTTGAGTGATATCTGTTCTAAGGGGTACCAACATGTCTTTCTCCAGCTCTGAATTATATAGTCCCTGTTTTTAAGGAGTTCAAAGTTCAGCGTGGAAGGAAATCTCAAACCCACAAAAAGGGGCTTTAGGGTTTGGAAGCACGGGTGATGTTCCCTATCTCCTCCTCTCCATTCCCCAAACCGGAAATGTCTGGGTCGCAGAGAACATCCTCAGAGGAAATCCTGTTTTCCACTTCCTGGTCAGAGTCTGAACTCCAGGAAAAGGATGAATTTGGGGAGAGCTCTGTGTCCTGCCTCTTCATGGGTGGTCTGAGGCCAGGAGGATGAGAGGGACTAATTAAAAACACAATGGAAAAGATGACATCAGGTATTCAAGGGTGTTGGAGCTTCAGGGCCCTCAGAAATCACTTGGTCCTCATGGTACAAATGAGGACATTGGGGCCCTGATAAGGGACTTGCTCAAGTTCACATAGCTTAGTAAGTGCAGA